TCTGGAATAAGGCGGAGTAGATCGAATGCAATATCTGATATCAAAGTCTGTGAGATAAAAGTGAAACATTAACAGAAAAAAGAAAAAGATTGTTAAAGGTCATACCAAACATTTTCTTTTTTATACACTCTTGGAGGAGGAGGAAGCCAGGATCTCCATGTAGACATTGCAGAGGAGTCTCCTTGTAGAGATAGCGTGCAATGTCTTTCTTGTCAGCAGTAATTGCAGCGTGGATGGCAGAGACTAATATACTTTCAAATCTTGAATCCGGATTGTCGCGTAAGAACTGCTTTACTTTGGCAATATTCCCCTTGCGAATCCAATTATGCAAGGCCTTTTGTTGCCCTGCCAATCATGTTTGTAACTGGTAAGGCAATAGAAATTCGACCTCCAACAACAAATGCGCAGAAGAAATAGCAAACTGGGAACAGAGGAGATGTAATAAAACCTGTTAGCGTTTCCACTTGCAACTCGTGAACGTCCATAGAGAAAACTTCATGGAGCTCAACAATGTCGCGATAGACAGGGGTTCCACACATTTCGGCTAAAGCATCCCAAGCAGCTTTGGCTGAATTCATCTTCTTAATCCGATAGAACATTTCTGTTCCGCATGAAATCTTAATTGAATGCAGAGCTAAAGCATTCTTTTGAATCCACTCTCCCTGGCCAGGCATCTCATTTACTTTAACAACGTCCCAAAGATTTTGAGCTACTAAATAATGTTCCATTAAAATGCTCCACCTTTCATAATTTTCTTTTCTAAGAACTTCTGGTACAATCATGCTTGGACAAGTAGCCATGTTAGCCTATAAAATATTTCACCATACACAAAATTCATGTCAGTACTAAAGTGCATTTGAAGAAAAAAAATTATTTAGAGGAAAGGACTTTTTTGAAGAAATATATACTACATTGGTTAAAATTTTTATAAATTAGTTATGCTGTATCATTTGCCAGTGGCTTAAAGTTGTAACTCAGCCTTTCAAAGTTCAAACTATAAAATTTTTTTCTTGGAATTTCACATCCAAATTGGTCAAAAGTAACAATGTTTATGCACTTGTAGAGATTAAAATAATAAACCATGTAAATTTACTTACAAATCGGGTGATGATATTCCAGATCTGGGAAGCAAAAGGGAGGGAAATGGAATGATGTTCTCAAATAGAGGGCTAGAATTATTCGGCTAGATCTGGGAAGATACAACCTCCTACCCTTGATCAATCGGGAGTACGATGTTATATCATTTTATTTTTCTCCCTCTCCTTTACTTTCCTCCCTCCATTTATTAAAAAAAATTAAAGTAAAAAACTTTCTCCCCTGTAATTCTTTTTATAACTAAATAGAGCAATTTTTTCCTTACTCTTCCAACTCAAACCAAACGTATCTATAAAGTATAATTAAAGTTAGATTTTTTTTTATCAACTAATAATTAATTTAGATTAAGAACAAGAAACATGTATAGAAACAAGGTAAAACAACAAAAGATAATTAAACTTGATCGAACCGTATAAAGTGCAAAGATAAGTCAAGATCTAAAGAAAATTAAATGTCAAAGAATTATCACCATTCACTCATCAATATCCATAGAAAAATCTATCCACAAAAGAAACAGATGATGGACTTAACATGGAAATTCGAAAAAAATAAATAAAGGAAGGAAGGGAATGAGAAGCTATGTACCAGAGTTTTGACTGAAGAAAAGCGATTGAGGGCAAGGAAGAGGTTAAAAGGTGACAAATTAAAGCAGCAAAGTGAGATCGACGAGTGGCGACGTCAACGATTATAAGGCAGAGTGAGAGGAGCAGCACTAGGACAGAGTAAAAGATCGGCTGATATTCTTATTAGATGCTGCTTTACCAAATGGAAGAAACCGCGCCGCTGTCTTTTTCAAAAAGCGAAAATCAAAAAGCAAAATTATTGCCTTGGACCAACTTGTTTCCTAAATCGACGGTACAGATTCAAATTGATTTTTTTTTTTCGGTAGAAAGATTCAAATTGATT